CCGTTCTTGGATCTGGAACTATCCGTGGATCTGGAACCGTTCTTGGATCTGGAACTATCCGTGGATCTGGAACCGTTCTTGGATCTGGAACTATCTGTGGATCTGGAACCGTTCTTGGATCTGGAACTATCCGTTGTTCTGGTTCTTCATGGCCGAGAAGAACAGCTTCAATGTCGAGCAGATTTTAACCTCTGACTGAAAGCGATGTATTTTGGTGGAAGATTAGAAATACGCCGATGAGTCGGTCGCTTAGTAAAACGTAACGCTGTGGCTGTGATGATCAGGACGGGTTCAAATGTTAACAGAGGGAGGATCAATAAAGCTACATGTCTGATGGATTTGGATCTGGTTTAAAGGATTCTCCGAACGCAAAAAAAACAGATAAACGGTTTTATTTCCTCCTTTCATGTTTTTAAAAGACGAAACTTTAATTTCAGCTAAACATCTTTTTTTAAGTGTGTTTTTATTTTAGTGTTTTGTTTTGCTTTGTCTTACAAACCTCGCTTTGAGCCTTTGGCCTCCATGTTTGGGATGAACATCAGTCTGCAGCGATGATGAGGCTCGGAAAATAAAAGCGGCGGCCATTTTTCCACAGAGGAAGCTGTGATGTCACATCATCTCTGTCCAAACATCTGTTCCTCACCTCTAATTGTGGTTTATTCTGCACCAACAGGAAGGCCCTCGTCCTGCTGAAGAAGAAGCGATACCAGGAGCAGCTCCTGGATAAGACGGAGAACCAGATCAGCAATCTGGAGCGGATGGTGAGTGGCGGCGGCGGCGCTCCGGAAGCAGCGGGAACAAACCTGATCCTCCGTTCTTCTGCTCCTTTCAGGTCCAGGACCTGGAGTTCGCTCAGATCGAGAGAAAAGTCCTCGACGGCCTGAAAGTCGGAAACGAGTGTCTGAAGAAAATGCACGAGGTGGGAGATGTTTGCCGGGTGTGACGATGGCGTTCAGGCGCCGCCTCAGAGAGCTGATCTGCTGTGATTTCCCCCCACAGGTGATGTCGATCGAAGAGGTGGAGAGGATCATGGATGAAACCCAAGACGCCATCGAGTACCAGAGGGTAGGCGTCTCAGAGCGAGCTTCAGCCCGGAGCGCCGCCGTTCATCCAATCGACTCATTTTGTCTCTTTGCAGCAAATCGACGACATGCTGGCTGGTTCCTTATCGCAGGAGGATGAGGACGCCGTCCTGGCTGAGCTGGAGGCCATCACTCAGGTCAGTTTGAGGTGAAGCGGAGAAGATTCGCCCCCTGAGGTCAGATCAGCGCTCCTCACGCCGATTCTGATCCGCTTGTGTTTTAGGGAGACGTCCAGCTTCCAGACGTTCCTTCAGAGCCGCTGCCAGACGTTCCTGAAGCTGCTGAGAAGAATCCAGGTGTGTAATCCAACCGTTTGTAGCGTAGACGTGGGGCGTCCGAAGACGAGGAAAGATTATGGTGTTGAAAGAAAGTAAATAATGACACTGAGGCAGATATTTATATTTGACGTTGGTACCATGCTTTCTCTTTCTGCTTGAGCTTATTTCACCAAAATGGCAGAAAAACTTTGTATCTTAAATCATTTTTCTCTTCCAAGACATTTTACACAAAAACAACTTA